TATAGATTAAAAACTTAAGGAGACAGTTTTGATCCATGCGGTATTTCCTTACTCTGTTCTATCAGCTGCCTCCTGGTCCAAGTATAGATTTCACATAAGCACAATCAAGGGATTACCATTCTTCTCAAAGTCAGCCACAGTTTGTAGTAATCCACACAGTCAAATGCCTTTGTTTAGTCAATGAAACACAGATAGACGTTCCTCTGGTACTCTCTTCTTTCAGCTAAGATCCATCTAACATTGGTTATAATATCCCTAGTTAGTGCCTCTTCTAAACCAAGCCTGCACATATGGCAGTTTTCTGTTGATGTGCTATTACAGATGCTTTTAGATAAGGGGTTATAAATGTAGTTGTTCAGGGTTGAACTTTTCTCAGTTTAGAATGGCTCTGCTGGGGATGTAGAGGTATGGGATGGCACCAAAAATAACTTTCTCTTGTTCCTTTGTTAGAAATTATATGCTGAACGGTGGGGAAAAAATATACCAAGCAAAAGGCAATCAGAAAAAGGAGTGGTGATATTAATCTCTGATAAAATAGATTTCAGTGAAAAAACATCATTAATAACAAAGAAGGTCACTACATAATGATTGAAGGGTCAATAGAACTAGAAGAAATAACAATAATAAATAGATATGTATCAAATTAAAGACCTGCAACATATATAAAACAAACATTAACTAAACAAAAGAAAATAGACAACACTACTATAGTAGTTGGAGACTTCAATACACCACTCTCAAGAAAAGATAGAACTTCCAGAAAAAAACACATTAATGTTGCTGAAAAATTAAACCACACAATAAACCAACTTGATCTCATAGATATTTATAGACTAATGCACCCCCCCAAAAAAGCACAGTATACCTTCTTCTCCAATGTGCATGTAAAATTCTCCAGAATAGATCCCATTTTAGTTCACAAAGCAAGTATCAATAAATTAAAAAAACACAGAAATAATACAAAGCATCTTTTCAGACTACAATGCTACAAAATTAGAAATGAAAAACAAAAAGATGAAGAAAAGAACATATATTTAGAAGCTGAACAACACCTTACTTGAACATGAGTGGGTACTAGAAGAAATAAAAAATGAAATTAAAAAGTTTCTTGAAACAAATGACAATGAAAACACCACTTACCAAAAACCTCTGGGAAACAGCCAAAGCAGTAATTAGAGGTCAATTTATAGCAATAGGCAAACACATTAAAAGATGGAGAAAATAAACATTGACTCTCTAACCTAACATCTCCAGCAAATTGAAAAAGAACAGAAAGAAAACCCAACACCCTCCAAAAAACCTGAAATTATAAAAATTTGGGCAGAAAGAAATGAAATAGAAAACAGAAAAACAATTGACACCAACAACAAAACCAGATGTTGGTTCTTTGAAAAGGTCAATAAAATTGACAAACCACTAGCAAAACTAACAAAAGAACAGAAGGGAAAGACACAAATAATCTGAGTAAGAGATGAAATGGGCAATGACACAATAGAACCTACTGAAATAAAAAGGTTAACAATGGAATATTGTGAAAAACTATACTTAAACAAATATGAAAACCTAGAGGAAATGGACAAATACTTAGAAAATCACAAACCACCTAAACTGACACTGACTGAAATTGAACATCTGAACAGACCCATTGTTGTTGTTGTTGTTATGTGCCGTCAAGTCATTTGCGACTCATAGCGACCCCATTACAAAAGAAAAAAAATTGAAAAGGTAGTAAAACAACTTCCAGCCAAAAAATGCCCAGGGCCAGATAGTTTTACATGTGATTTTTATCAAACATTCAGAGAACTGTCACCAATTCTACATAAACTATTTCAGAAGATAGAAAAAGATGGAATTCTCCCAGACTATGAAGCAAACATATTCTTGATACCAAAGCCAGGTAAAGACACCACCGAAATAGACAATTATAGGCTAATATCTCTCATGATCATAGATGCAAAAATTCTGAATAAAATCCTGGTCAATAGAATCCAATGATACATCAAAAAAATAATTCACCATGATCAAGAGAGATTCATAACAGGCATGCAAGGATGCAATATAAGAAAAACAATCGGTATAATTAATCACATTAACAAATAAAAAAACAAGAACCACATGGTTCTGTATCAATTGATGCAGAAAAGGCCTTTGACAAAATCCAACACCGTTTCCTGATTAAAACACTCAACAAAATAGGAATAGAAGGGAATTTCCTCAAAATAGTAAAGGTATATATGCAAACCTGAGAGCCAATGTTGCTCTGAATGGAGAGAGGTTAAAGGATTTCACCTTGAGAACAGGAACTAGGAAAGGATGTCCACTATCATCTCTCATGTTCAATATTGTATTAGAAGTCTTAGCAATTGCAATGGAACAATATAAGGAAATAAGAGGTATCAAAATGGGCAAAGAGGAGGTAAAATTATCTCTATATACAGATAATATACTTGTTGTTATGTGCCATCTAGTCGCTTGCAACTCACAGTGACCCTACGTACAAGAGCCCTAACCGCTGTTCTATCCTGTGCCAACCTAGCCATCTCAAACACATTCATTCCCACCATTCCAGTCACAGAATCGATCCATCTCATCGAAGGTCTTCCTCTCCTGTGCTTCCCCTCCACTCTGCAAATGATGTCCCTCTCCAAGGACCAATCCCTCCTTGCAACGTGCCCAAAATATGTCAGAAGAAGCTTCATTATCCTTGACTCCAAGGAGCATTCCGACTTCACCTTCTCCAGGACAAACCAATAATATACTTAGAAAACCCTAAAGATTCAACAAGAAAACAACTGGACATAATTGACCAATTCAGCTAAGTGGCAGTTTGCAATATCGACATACAAAAATCAACTGCATTTTTCTACAGTGACAAAGATGATATAGAACTGGAGCTAAGAAAAACAATACCCATCACTATAGCTAATCACAAGATTAAATACTTGGGAGTTAATCTAACTAGAAACACAAAGAATCTATTCAAAGAAAATGACAAACCATTACTATAAGAAACAAAAAAGAGAAGTGGAGAAATGGAAGAATATGCTTTGGTCATAGATAGGAAGACTCAGTATTGTGAAAATGACAATTCTACCAAAGGCAATTTACACGCTCAATTAAATTCCAATACAAATACCAATTCCATTCTTCAACAAGATGGAAAAGGCAATCTCCAGTTTCATTTGGAATGGAAAGAGGCCCCAAATAAACACAGTATTCCTTAAAAAGAGAAACAAGGAAGGGGACATCTCACTCCCTTATTTCAATTCCTACTACACTGCTATGGTGGTCAAGACAGTGTGGTACTGGTACAATGACAGATACATAAATCTAGAGGAATAGAATTGAGAGCCTGGAAATCAGCCCATCTACTATAATCAACTGATTTTGTACAAGAAGATGAAATCAGTTAAGTGGAGAAATGACAGCCTTTTAAGCAAATGGTGTTGGCAAAGTTGGAAACCCATCTGCAGAAAACTCAGACAAGACCCACACTTCACATCATACACAAACACCAACTCAAAGAGGTTCAAGGACCTAGGACTAAAACGTCATTAGAGAAAAGCTTGAAAGAATCCTTGAAACACTAATCCACAGCATTAACAGTTTTCCAAGCATCCTGAAAAACCTACAACCAGGAGAGTATAAAATAGATGAATGGTACCTTCCAAGAATCAAATCCCTATGCACATCCAAAAACTTCTCCAACAAGGTAAAAAGGAAAGCCATAGACTGGGAAAAATATTTGGTAATGACATGTCTGATGAGGCACTTATATCTGGAATTTATAAAATACTCGAGCACCACATCAAGATAAATGTAAACAACCCAATATCAAAATGGGCACAGAATATGAACAGACACTTCACCAAAGAAGACATTCAGATGGCGAACACATGAACAAATGTTCAAAATCTCTAGCTCTGAGAGAGATGCAAATCAAAACAACTATGAGATATCATCTCACCCCAGTAAGAATAGCAGAATTCATGAGAACAGCAAGCAACAAATTCTGACGAGGTTGTAGAGAGACTGGAACACTTAATCACTGTTGGTGAGAGTGTAAAATGGTGCAACCAGTGTGGAAGGCAGTATGGTGTTTTCTCAAAAAGTTAGAAATAGGAGTACCATTTGACCCAGCACTTCCACTACTGGGAATATACCCTAAAGAAACCAAAATTGTCATCCAAGCAGATACATGTACACCCATGTTTATTGCTACTTTCTTCACAGTAGCAAAGAGTTGGAACCAACCCAAGTGCCTAGCAACAAACCAATGGATAGAGAAGCTGTGGTATATTCACACAATGGAATATTATGTAGTCCTGAAAAACAAAGAACTCAGGAAATATTAAACAAAATGGGTGACCATGGAGGACGTTATGCTGAGTGAAATATCTCAGTCACAAAAAGACAAATGCTGCAGAATACAACTGTTATAAAACAGAACTGACACTTGGGTTGGGGGAAAAATTAAGAAAATAGGACATAAATAATGTACACAGCTTTGAAACAGACGAGGGAGAGAACTGTATAAAAGGAATATACGATTACATGTTATTGGCATGACAAGAATCCAGAATAAGAGCTGCACAGTAAAGTGGTAATGGTGGGGGGGCTGTATAACAATGAAAGAACTTTTACCAAAGAAAAAAGTGTACTGGAGGCAGAGAAGAAAATGTGCAACAATGAATGAATGGAAACCCAAGTTCTTTAAAAACTTTCATTCAAATTTCAATAAAATAAAAAAAGAAATTATATACTTAAAAATTATATAATGGATGAAATCATATCATGGCTGATATTGAACATTAGTGATTTTCTCTGGGAAAAGTCGGTCAATCATACAGCAGTTTTTTTTTAAAAAGGGTAGAATTAATATTTTATTGTAATTTATAATCAGATGGCAATCAGGCATATAATCTTCATACTTGATCTTTTTTTTTGTAGAAAAAAAAAGTTTTAAACAGCTGGCAGCTGGTTGTTTTCCGTAAATATGATTAAATCAGTTCACTAATGGTGGCTTCAAGCTTTTCCTTGTTAGCACCAGAAAATTCACCCACCTTTTGTCCTTTTTTATAAAACTGAAACGTTGGCATGCATTTGACTTCACACTCTGAAGCAACATCCTGACAGTCATCCACATCAACTTCGAGGAACACCACGTTGCTAAACTTTTCAGATAGGGAATGATAAAAAGGCTTAATCATTTTGCAAGGCCCACACCATGTGGCTGAGAAGTCGACCACTATGAGTTTGTCTCCAGCACCGTTCAGGCATGCCATAAAATCTTCCTTGCTTTCGATCTGCTTCACCATCTTGGCCGTTAGAGTCTGACGAGCGACCATAAGACTTGAAGGGATGGATCCGAAAACCAGACAGAGCTTGGTCTGAGAAAGCGCAACCCACCTTCTTTTATTGTCAGGGGGCGTGGGCCCATACAGCAGTTTTAAAGTATAAATTATGTAGCAGGGCTGTATTGATCGCTGATGTTTCAGTGGTGAACAATATGAGGTATGCATTTACCTCAGGTTCACATTCTGTGTGTTGTTAATGTTGTAATGTGCCGACAAGTCACCTGCGACTCATAGTGACCCTATTTACAACAGCCCTAAACCCTGCTTTATCCTGTGCCAATCTTATTGTCCCTGACACATACCCCAATTACCCAATCACTGAATCAATCCATCTCATTGAGGGTCTTCCTCTCCTGTGCTGTCTCTCTACCCTCTCAAGCATGATGCCCCTCTCCAAGGACTGGTCCCTCCTTGCAACATGTCCAAAGTATGCCAGACAAAACTTCAGAATCCTGACTTCCATGGAGCAGCCTGGTCTTACCCTCTCTAGGATGAACCTGTTTGTTCTTCTAGCAGTCCATGGCATATTCAATACTCCACATCTCAAAGACATCAATTCTCTTTTTATCATCCCTAGTCATTGTCCAGCTTTCTGATGCATAGCAAGTAATTGCAGACTATGGTCTGGATCAGGTGTACTTTAGTCTCTAGACTAACATTGTTGCTTTTCAGTACTTTGGAGAGATCTCTAACAGCAGACATTCCCAATGTAATTTGTCTTTTAATTTCCTGGCTACTGGTTACAAAAGTGTTGATTGTGGAGCCAAGCACTCTGAAGCTGTTAACAATCTCAATCTCTTCACTATCTATCATGATGCTGCCAATCAGCAGAGATACTCTTTGTTTTCTTGACACCAAACTTCAGTCCATATTGAAGGCTGCAGTCTTTTACCTTCTGCAGCAAGCAATTCAGGTCCTCCTCAGTTTCAGCAAGCAGGGTTGTATAATGCAGGGTTGTATAATGTTATGCTCATCTGCATAACGCAGTCAGAGATTGATTTAACATGCAATCAAGATGTATTAATAATAATGGGTAACTAGAATGCAAAAGTTGGGAATAGAGAAGAAGGATCAGTAGTTAGGTAACATGGACTTGGTGACAGAAATTAACCTGGAGATAGAATGATAGAGTTTTGCACAAAGACTTTTTAATTACACATACATTTTATAAGAAACATAAACACAGGCTATACACATGGACTTCACCTGATGGTATGCATAGGAATCAGGTTGATTACATCTCTGCAAAGAACCACTATGGAAGCTCAATATCAGCTGTGAAAACTAGGCCAGAACAGAACACCAACTAACTACTCATATATAAGTGTAAGCGGAAGCTAAAGAAAATGAAATCAACTCCACTGGAACCAAAATGTGACCTTGAGTCTATCCCACCTGAATTTCAAAACCACCTCAGAAACAAGTTTGAGGCCTTGAACACTAATGAGCAACGACCAGATGAGCTGTGGGAGGATATCAAGAATATCATCCATGAAGAATGAAAGTCATTCCCTGTGTGGTCACTCTCTTTTCACTGAAGGTCCTAGCACCTGGGAACATTTCATTGTCCCTCATTCTCTTCCTCACCTGAAAGGGGTCAAAGTTTCGTGGTAACCCTACTCCCTCTTTTGTTCTTCATTGAACTTAAATGTTTGTTCTCTGTTTTGGTTTTTGTTTTTTTTGTTTTTTTTTAAATGTCTCCTTCCCTTTTAGAATGTAATATTCTAAAAACAAAAACTTCATTGCCCACTTTGGCTCCTATTAAGTCACTTCTACATCCTCCTCACTGTTTCACTCTGTGACAGTTTCTTCTCTTGACTCATCAAGCTTTGTTCTAAGGACTCTTTCTCTTGAATTCCTACTCTTCCATACACCAGAGTATCTAATCAGTCTCTGTATTCATTTCCTGCTGTTGCTGAAACAAATACATGTAGTTCTGAGACTATGCGTTAATTCCTATGTCTCTTAATTGGCTTTGTATGCAAGTTGGAAACATTAAGTATTGCTACTTAAATGTTTGTCTTAGTATATGTTGGCTTTATTGTTAGGAGTTGAGTACAACGCATAGCAATCTCTGAACAACAAATCGAAATGCTGTTCTAGCCTCTGCCATTCTCACAATCCTGCTTATCCTCTTTTCATGCACAAAAAAAAAAAATTGAAGAGATACTTCTAGAGACAGTGAAAAATTTTAATTTTAAACTTAATGATATAGAAAGAATAATAATAATAATTAATAATAATAATAATGTTTTATGACTGTTTCAAAGTTTGAACCTGGGGACTAACTATGGTCACAAACAATGTCTTAAAATAGCACTAATTTGGTGAGCTTTGGTGGCCTAGTGGTAGGAAACTGCACTGCAATCCCAGAGGTGCGTGGTTCAAATCCACCAGATGCTCTGCTGAAGAAGGAGGAACAATCGCCTCCTGTACCAGTCAGATCCAATTTGACGGTACACACATTAAAAAAAAAGGAAAAAAATAGCACTAATTTATTATCTCATAGTTCTGGAAGTCAGAGCTCATAATCAAGGTGTTGACAGGTCCGAATTACGGAGTCTGCTCTCATTGTTTGGCATGTGGCTTCATCTTTGAATCACTTCGACCTCTTGCTTCTACCTCGCATCTCAGTCTTTGACTCTCATTGTCTTCCATCCCTCTCAGACAGATTCTTGTGATTACATCAGTTCTGCTTGGATAATCCAAAACACTCTTTCCACCTTAAGATCCTCAACTCAGTCACATTTGCAAAGAGTCTTTATCACATAAAATAGTATTTTCCATTACAGGTATCTTTGAGTGCCATTAGTCAGTGTGCCAGCTTCCAAATATTGACACTTTTGACTTTGATAATCACCCTTAAATTGCCCTTATCTTTCGTTCTAAGATTACCACCCAAGTTGAGGTCCTAATTATATTACATCCTTGGTCCTTGTATCGCTCCTATCTGCTTTCTTGCCCACTGGTTTCAGCTAAAGCTTATCATTCCGAAAATAACAACAAAATAATTTTTTATTTTATATTTGTTTTATTACAAAGTTCATATACATTGTGTTTCACACTATCTATGTATTCACATTGTCTACAGAGATTTTTATGACTGGTAAATGGTTTTTGTAAAGGGCCAGAGTAACATTTTAGACTTTTGGGGACAAAAGGCAATATTCAGCCTGTTACTAAGATGGCAAAGTAATCATGTGATTCCTGGGTAGTGTAAACATTAATGAACTTGACTGTCAAACAAAAATCTGGTGGTTCTAGTACACATAGGTACCTCATGAAAAAGACCTACCAGTTTACTTCTGAAAATCAATAATTGAAAATTCTATGGAGCATAGTCTTACTTGGACAAATGTGAGTCTGTCATGAGTTGGTATTGACTTGATGGAATAGGTAATGTTTAATAATTAAAAGAATGTAAAAACTATTCTTAGGTCACAGGGTGTTAAAAAACAAGTGCCAAGTTGGATTTGGCCTGTCAGCTATCGGAGTTTGCTGATCCTTGTTTATTAGATAAAGTCTGAGCTGCTGATCTCAAGTTTACTTTGGTCCAGCTTTCTAAGTTTGCTCCCTGCTATCACTTCCCTACACAGACTTTCCTCTCTAGCAAGGAGTTAGTCTTCCCCTTCCTGGGATATTGTATCTTCTTCATGGACTTAAATTTTTCTCATTCTTCAATACTCAAAATCAATCCTGTCTTCTTTATGAACCCAAATCAGTCTAGACATTGTGATCTCTCCCCTCTCTGAGTTTGCATCAAGCCTATATGAGAGAGAGAGAGAGAGTGGGAGAGCGGGAGAGTGGGAGGAGAGACGAGAGAGCACGAGAGCGCTGAGATCTACATGCAGGACTATGGGTATGGCCATGGCAGAGGATCCTTAATGTGAATCTCACCTACTGTATTTATCACTAAGGAAAAGAAATCGAGAGAACTGCTGGTTGGTCTTACTACTTAGCAATCAATTTCAGAGGTTAAGATTATATTGTTGTGGTGGTGTACCATTGAGTTAGAACAGACCCACACTGAGCCCCCAACAGGTTTTCAGAGGCAGATAATCGCAGGGGAAGAGATTGCTCATCTGTCTTCTGTGGAGCAGCTGTTGGATTCAAACCACATGCCTTCCGGATTGCAGCACAGCTTCTTGCCACTTGGCCATGAGAGCTCCCTAAGAACATTTATGTATAAGAATCACTTGAGATCTGCAAGAATCATTTGTGGATCTTTTAAGAATATGGATCCTGATTCAGTATTTCTGGGGTGAAAATGCAATGTCTCAGCAGACCTCAACTTGATCATCAACACTAAACTACAAGGTTAATTTCCTTCAAGCCTCTGGTCACAACATTTTTATGAGTTGGTCAGTCTCTAACCTTGTTCATACATGCACCTGTTTAAAGACATCTTATTTAATATGTGTTGTTGACTGATTAACATGTCCCTCCCAGTCAGCAGCATGAACAATACTTGTTTAGCATGCATTTGTTCTGTAAGGCACATCACGGTCTTCTTGGGGTTAGAAACAGTAGATGGTACTCCAACACAGTGCTCAGGGACCACTTTAAACCATGAAATCACCAAGTAGCATAAAAAATGTGAACAATGTGCCACTAAACAGACCGTGAAAAGAACACTTGTTTGCAATATATGAGCAGAAACAAGAAGGCAGCGCATCAGCTAGTTCTTCCTCAGCCTGGGACGTGTGTGTCAGGCAACTCAAAGGTTTTGCGATCTTTTGTATCTATGGATGACAGTGAAAGCTCCATAGGTACTGATTTGGTAGTTACAAAAATTTTTTAGTGATTGAGCTAGTTTTCAATGCAGAATTCACAAATAATGAAGATTAATTGCCTATAATACCTTATGTTATTTTTCAAACCAGATTATAGTCTCTTTAATTACCCTGTCTCTATCATATCCCTCTTTGTTTCTCACATAGTTATGCACATATTATATATTT